CTTAACCCTTAGTTTAGATAGAATAACAATCCATACCCGAAAACAAGCGTGGATCCCGTCGAGTACGACGGACGTGAGGGGTGCTAATACCTTTCCCTTGCGTAACCGACTCCCGAATCCAGGTTTTGGTTGCGATGACCATACCTTTTCCCGTCTTTGCGGTAGGTTTACTCTGAGCGTTTCCTTTCCCTCCCGTGGGATAAATAACGCACGGTGGTGACTCTTCTGTTCAGCCGGCGCCGATTTTCGCAGTAGCGACACTTTCCTCGCATGGCGAAAATCTCTCTTTCAAAAAGGATATGTTATGTCCGTTCTACCACAAACAGGTAACACCTAAGTCTTCAAACGAGCGAGCAACAATACACCTAAACTGCTAGAATGCGCATGATAGCATCATCCACAAAAACATTAACAAACCGTAGGCCGAACTACGACTGCTCTGATTCTTTACTTCTTTCAAGTAAAGATACGTAGGCACAAGGGCCACAATCCTTGCCGAACACATTACCCCCTATATCTGTAGTTCCCCAAACTACGTTGACTCTGACTTTCTCATATCTTTTGAGAATACGTAGGCATAGGACTGCGAAGTCCTATCGAGTCTTTCTTCTTCCCCATTACCTCTTTTTCCCCTATTTCTAACCTCTCTTGGAACACTCTTTAAAGCAATAACCTTTAGCAAATATCTTCACACATACGACAAACAAATGGTTCCCATCGAGTACGATGGATGCGAGGGATGCTAATACCTTCCCTTCGTATAACCGGCTTCCGAACCCGTTCTTGGTCACGAGACCATCTTATTCGTTCCTTTCTTAAGGTTTTCTCGATATTTTCCTTTCCCCTCATGTGATAAATAAAGTTCGGTGGCGACTCTTCTGTCTATCTTTTTCGCCTCCTCGTCGTTGCATTTTTTGAGTAGCGACAGCGTTAAATGTTGGATCTGTCCACATCGAGGATTGACAGGGAAAGTCATTCCTTATTGGCAAAGAGCATTCACCATCTTTATCCTCTTTATGGATTACTATTTTATCATCCTTTAGAGCATGAGAAGAGTTCCTACATTGTTTCTAGCTTTTAGGGGGACGAGTCTTGTTGAGGGCATCACCTTTAACATGCCTCTTGCTCTCCTTCATCATAAGGTCTCTTGGGAGACTCTTGGGATTATATATCCCTTATTCTTGGCACTTAGTATTCTTCTTGGTTAGATGTTCTTTCCTTTCAACTAGGTAGATGGAAGACATTTTCTCTACAAAAAGAGGTATAAGGAAAACACAAGTAACCTGACGAGTAAATAATCCTAAAATAAGGGTCAATATGATCTTAAACTTACTTAAATATTTTTCTATCTTACTGTTTTTCCCTGATCTGTATGATCATGGTGTGAGATCTCATGACCTTGAATTCGTCCAAGAGTTTAACAATCTCCCTCTCAATAAGGGTGAGGTAGTTAAATTTAAAGCCAATGATTATCACTACATTCTCTTTCCGAGATAGAGGGAAGCGAGAGACACCATCTGCCCAGGTTGTGACCATGGAGGCGCCATCTCGTCCAATAATTTTTAAGAACTTGTCCTTCTAATTCTTATAGTAGCTAGATTAGGGCTTGAACATTGTTATTCAAGACAAGGTAACAAAGTCACCCAGCCACCTTTGGTGCCAGACTTGGTACCATAAAAAGAAAAGAGCATCCATATGGTGGGGTTGACATCCATCCTTCTGCATATGATTTCAAACGCCTTAATCACACTTCATACATTAGGCATAATATAGAGGGAGTGACGTTTGAAGTCTCTAGAACCTCTACCTCAAACAGGGTGAAAGAATCAAAACTCCTAAATCATGAATGGCATAGAGGTAGAAGTAGAAGTAAGGGTTGGGAGAATCATCTAGGGAAGCCATGTTTTTCCTCTCTTCTTCATACCACGCCTCCAAAATGACATATTCTTCTTGGCCAGTGTTGGAGATCTCAATTCATCGCCAAAAATCCTCAACCCTTTCCTCACTCGTATACGGGCTTACAAAATCTTCAACTTTTAAGTAATTAGCATCTGAGAGCCATTATTAGAATTACCAGTGCTCTCATAGCTCCCAAATATGCATGTATCTAAGAGTATGTAGTTAATGGATTCATCTACGTGTTTAACATTCTTCGTGCAATCCAAGTACATTTAAGATAATTCTCTAGTATCCAAGGCTCTATCACCCTACTGTTCTAGTCTAAATATCTAATAATCTACATTAAAAGAAGAAAAGAGAAAGGAAATAAGAGGGTTTATGCATGCAAGTAGCGGAATGGTAGTTGAACTTGTTAAAATAGGGGAACAAATGTAATTTGTGCTTGTTGTACTATGATGAAGTCTTACAAAATCTTTGTTGAAGAAGATATGCGAAAAGGTAAAATGGTTAGAGTTGACCCTCTTTTGTAAGGGGTTTGAAAGCTATCCCTAGGAGTAGTCAAAAACATCTCACTAGGTTCTCCAATAGTTGCAAAAAATTCCTCATGTTTCTAAAACATGTGAATGATTAAGGCCGATTTATAACTCCAAGGTAGATTTATCATTGATCACATTTAATAGTGCATTCACCTTAACTGACATTTGATGACTTACCTAAATTGACACATGGAGGTTTATCCAAACCCATACTTAAGGGACTCATCTTAAGTCAGGCTTTAGGACTCGCCCCAAGCAAGGCCTGAGGGGCTCGCCCCAAGTTATGCTTGAAGGATCCGACCCAAGTTGTGCTAGAGGGACTCGTTCTAAGTTACGCTTGAGAGACTTGCCTCTAACAATGACTGAGAAAATCATTCAAATAAAAAGGTAAAAGGTAATTAAAATAAATCACTTTGTCATTTACAAATCCTCGTGCTTGATGGAGTGCCCACTAGTATATTTGTAAAGGATCCACAAGAGGCAACATGATATTCACCAAGGGCATGTAAATAACCCGCATCGACCAAAATAGGGTTCATAGTCGCCTATTTATCACAATGTGCGCCCATTGTCTAGTACACTTGCACACTGGTTACATCACTTGCCAACATATGAGAACATGAGGAATGGCGTGTCCTTACCCCGTAACGGTAAGGGAGAGGCAATCAAAGAAGGAATCCATGTTCTCTAATATAATACGGGAAATAACGGCTTCATTTCCCACGCTTCTAAAAGAAGAATACAATAACCATTTTCTTGGGTCCTTAGATCTAAGCCCAAGGGATTCCTATAAATACCTCAGCCATAAGGTTAAGAGTGGATATTCAATTCACTCAGAAATCACCTAGATACAAAGCTTATCACCATCCTTGTGTGAGCTTGCTCTACACCAACAACAACCCTAAAACCCTCAAAATACTTTAAATCGAAAAGGGTTATAACTAATTGTACTTTTAATAAATACAAAAGTTTTTGAGACATAATATTACACTTTTATCATTCAGAATGTCGAAATAAGGTTTGAGCATAGTGATATTACGTTCGCACTGCACCTGGTTTTGGGAATTCTTTTTCTTTTCATTCTCAAACAAGTCAACGTGTTGCGGGGGTGCAATGTGAGGTATCACGTTAATACATGGTGCAAGTAGAAACCTTTTGTGGTCTTGCTTACAAACGCAACAAAATATTTCTAGCTTTATTTCGTTCAAGACTTCTAATATGGTTTTGAAGACATTCAAGCAAGTTTTAAAGAACACTTGCGACATATCTCTAAGTCAATTTCCAACACCTTGCTTTTAAGGGAATGCAATAGCCATAACAATTACAAAAGACGAAAATGTTAATGGTCTTGATAGCTACAACAATTTCTTTCATGAAGAGATGATGATGAAGAAAAGAGAATAGTCTCCAACAATTGATGCATTGCATGAAAAGTTAATCATTCTTTATAATATTTTGGACAAATAGTCTCTCATACCAATTGATAAGGTTTTTCTTTTCATTTTCATTTAATAAGAATGTTAAGAAGGTTTTTATTGTAGGGTTGTGAATTCTATCTTCATTAGGTATCCTTTGCGTATTCACCTGGACAACAAACTTCAACTGGATTTGATTAAAAAAAAAATACTAATGTGCAATGTTGGATTAGAATACATGATATTCCTATTGAATATTTGAAGAGCACAAATTCATTTTTCAATTGAAAAGAGATATTGATGTCCCTCTAACCTTAGATAAAGCAACTAGCAATAATTATTTTTGGATATTATGCTTGGTGGATCTTGATTTGTTATAATTCTTTTTCAATTTCCTTCTTGTTGAAGTGGAGGGTTATGCTTTAATTTTAATGTTGAGTACAAAAAAAATCATTCACTATACTCTTTTTTGTCATATTATTGGCCACTCATTATTACATTATTATGCAAAAGATATTGCAAATTCAAGGGAGGAAAATATAACAAAAAATATACATTTTATATTCTAATAAATCTAACCTTCGAGTATAAAACATTACTATAACAATAGTAGAAGAGCTAATTATTATTTTGTGAGAGATTTAACTCTAGGTAAATCCTATTTTTCTTTTGTAGTGCCCACTTATCAATGAGACTATACAGAAAAATTTAGATGATACTAAGTATATATTCCTTTATTAGAACTATCTCAAGATATTGAGAAAAATAATTATCATAAGATTGAAGAGGAAGAAGTATCATATGTTGCTCAAGAAAGTGAGATTTATAATTCTCAAAGAATTGCAAAATTAGAAAAGAATAAAGAAATGGATAAAACAAAAGAACAGCAAGACTTCTTCATGTTCCTCAAGAAAGTGAGATTAATAATTCTCAAACAATTGCAAAATTAGAAAAGAATAAAGGAATGAATAAAACAAAATATAGTAAAATTTAAAAACCAAGTCAATTCCCACACCGTGTAATGTAAAACAAAGAATGACCAAAACAAAGTCAAAGTCAACTCAAACATAGCCGCCACTAATGTCTTCTAAAAACACCATCTACTTCTAAATCTAACAAACATTTCATATTTCAAACAAAAAAACAAAACATGCCTCTTTCAATCTTCACTTTCTTCTTCTTCCTTTTCCTCTTCAATCTTCAACCTTCAACTTCCCAACAACAATTCAAATCCTTCAACGCCTCACTCTCACCATGGCGTCCCTCCCAAAACCGAACCCTCACCTCACCAAACTCCAACTTCACTGCTGGTTTTTTTCCCATACAAAACTCATCAAACCTCTTCACTTTCTCAATATGGTTCTCCAAAATCCCTCCATCCTCAGACCCTGTCATCTGGAGCTTCTCAGAAAAACTCAACTCGTCTTCCTCTCTCATCATAACCTCAAAAGGTGAACTCTTGCTCAACAATCTTTCCTTTGTTGTTAATGATAATTCTTCCAATTCCACACAACTTGTTCTTCATGATAATGGAAACCTTGTGTTTGGAAACTGGACTAGTTTTTCAAATCCGACTAACACTATCTTACCAAACCAGAACATTACTGGAATTGAAATTGTTTCAAGTAATAAAAAGTTCAAGTTTGTTAAATCTCAGAATTTGATTCTCAATGATGATTCTTCATCAACTCAGTACTATAGTACACCTAGTGCTTTGTTGTTTATGGATGATGCTGGAAAAATGAGTATGCAAAGTAACTCTTTTCTCACTTCTGATTTTGGTGATTCTAGGTTTAGGAAACTTGTTCTTCATGATGATGGAAATTTGAGAATTTATAGTTTTTATCCTGAACAGAAAAACACTTGGGTTATTGTTTGGTTAGCAATTTGGGAAATGTGTAAAATCAAAGGAAAGTGTGGACCTAATTCAATTTGTATGCCTAGAGAAGATTTCTACAATTCTACTTTTTGTGTTTGTCCTTCTGGATTTGAGCCTCTTGAAGGTGGGAGTGAAGTTGGTTGTAAGCCGAAAATTCCGCTTACGATTACAAGTAACACTCATTTTCTTAGGCTTGATTATGTAAACTATACGAGTAGCGGTTCGATGAATCAAATCTATGCTTTAAACTATACAATTTGTGAAGCAAGTTGTAGAAGAAACTCGAGCTGTCTTGGATTTGGATTCAAATATGATGGATCGGGCTACTGTGTTTTGTTACACGGTAAAGAGCTTCGATATGGTTTATGGTCGCCGGGGACTGAGCTTGCTTTGTTTTTGAAAGTTGATCAGAAGGAATCTGAAGGTTCGAATTTCATTGGTATGACGGAAGTGATGCAGACGACTTGTCCTGTGAGGATAAGTTTGCCTTTACCGCCGAAGGATTCGAACACTACGACGAGAAATATTGTGATTATATGCACGCTTTTTGCGGCGGAACTTATTGCTGGTGTGGCTTTCTTTTGGTCTTTCCTTAAGAGGTATATCAAGTATAGGGACATGGCTACTACATTAGGTCTTGAGCTTTTACCTGCAGGTGGGCCGAAACGGTTTACCTACTCGGAGATCAAAGCCGCGACTAATGATTTCTCGAATCTCATTGGGAGAGGAGGGTTTGGAGATGTTTACAAAGGTGAGTTGCCGGATCATCGTGTAGTCGCGGTGAAGTGCTTAAAGAATGTTACAGGGGGTGATGCCGAGTTTTGGGCAGAAGTTACTATCATTGCAAGGATGCATCACTTGAACTTGGTTCGGCTTTGGGGCTTCTGCGCCGAGAAAGGTCAAAGGATACTTATTTATGAATACATCCCGGGTGGATCTTTGGATAAGTATCTCTTTAGAGTGAAATCTCGTAAGGGTAGTGGTGAATCTGAATCTGAACAAAGTCATGATAATGGTTCAAATCCAAGTACCTTAGAGAAACCTGTTTTGGATTGGAACATGAGGTATAGAATTGCTCTTGGTATGGCTAGGGCGATCGCGTATCTTCACGAGGAATGTTTGGAATGGGTTTTGCATTGTGATATAAAGCCGGAGAACATTCTCTTAGGCGATGATTGTTGTCCTAAGATATCAGATTTTGGATTGGCGAAACTGAGGAAAAAAGAAGACATGGTGACTATGTCAAGAAGGCGAGGAACTCCTGGCTATATGGCACCGGAATGGATAACAGCGGATCCAATAACTTCAAAAGCCGATGTCTATAGTTTCGGTATGGTGCTGTTGGAGCTTGTGAGCGGAGTGAGGAACTTCGAGATTCAAGGATCTGTGGTGAGGAGTGATGAATGGTATTTTCCGGGATGGGCTTTCGATAAGATGTTTAAGGAAATGAGAGTTGAAGAAATTCTTGATAGTCAAATTTCGCATGCTTATGATAGTAAATCGCACTTTCAGTTAGTTAATAGAATGGTGAAGACTGCAATGTGGTGTTTGCAGGATAGGCCTGAGGCAAGGCCAACAATGGGGAAGGTAGCTAAGATGATTGAAGGGACTGTGGAGATCATGGAACCTAAGAAACCAACTGTTTTCTTCCTTGGAGAAGAGTAGATTGAGTATTTCATGATGTTATATTTGCAAGCCCAATGTAGCATTGACACTTCAGATTGACAGTGTGTTCGGTGTTCGAAACGTGTCAATCTCTGACACCAACGCGACATTGATACACGAGTATCATGTCTGATATTTGTGTTTGCGTGAGTGATTCGTAATGTAAGTCTTGATTTTCCTTCCTTTATCCCTCCACCAATAAATTTAGTGATAAAATGTATAGTTTTTAGTTGCCCTGAATTTTCTTTTCCATTGTAGTATGTTTTGTTCAATTGTAATTTGTATTTAGTATTGTTGGAAGTGTTTGTGAGACATGAGTTCTTGTGCAGCTAGCTATTCAAGTTTTATGAATTTTCTTTACCAATACAAAGTGTTAGAATATTCTGTTTGAAAATGAACATGGTTATACAAGGTGTATAGTGAATTGGAATCATTTGTTCTGCTTCAAAATAAACATGAATAAATTTAGACAAAAGTGTGTTTTTCTCGGTCCAGATGAATAAATTTGGAGGTGAATGTGGAAAAATAAGATCCCTTAAGATAGTATTTGAAAAGATCTTCATAAGCTTACAAAGGCAACGGAGGTCCAGTCCAAAAAATAAGAGAATTATTCTCAAAATCTCATGCTTTTTTACTATACTAAAAAGTCACAATTATTTTTAGAATTTAGATGTATTTTCGAATACATATTCTTGACACATTCATCTATGTAAATTGATCAACCATCTTTATTTTTTCAAAACGTAGTTCGGAGATGTTGGAAAAAAAAACAAAAATTAACATCAACATATCTACTATTTCATAAATAATTGTTAACAGAAATTTAACATTACATTTCATTACAAATGGTTGGTTCTGGATGTTGTCACATCTTTAGAAAATATCCAATCGATCTTGCAATCGTTGCATCCACTTCAATCAAATCCTTTGATGAGTAACGGAAAATGTACTCTACATAACTTTTAAATCTTTGATTTTTTGGATATCGCATGAGAGTATTCAGTTTAGATTTCAGATCGACAAGAGTTATGTCTTCGGAGACCTTAAATTGAAGTGGGGGGCTTTGCATAATTTAAATACACAAATGCAAGATAGAGATACATATTCATTCTAGTGTAGGTTGTGTTTTTATGAAGAACATGAAAATGGAGACCCCCAATTTATATAAGTTTTAGACCAATTCGAAACTTAGAAACACTATTCTATCATCAAGACATATTTCAGATATACATATCTGGACACACCTTATTTTTTTACAAATAAGAATTTTTATGGAGATGCACATTTGTAAAATCCCCTATTTAGTCGTTCTTACAATTAAACTGAGGTGTGTCCGGAGCTTTATATCTGAACTCACCCCATATAGCACTGTTCATAGAGAACCATTATATATGCAGGACCAAATTTTGAAATTGAAAAAGTGTCTAAAAATTACTCCCAAATTCTATAATATTTTATACATTATATATGTATCAAATTGTGTCGAGATTACATCATTGAAAATATTACATACAAAAAATGAGTTATATTGTTAAATAGAAACTAAAATACAACAAAACACGTGTCATCACATAAATTTATATCTATTGGTGGTTCCTTTTTTGACCTTTCCTTATTTGATTCTTTTTCAATGTCGCTCAACTTAGTGAGTTCTTCCATCATTTTCAGAAAGTGATCCGGCCAAGTTTCAGCCTCTTTTGTGAAATGTTCATCCACTTTGGTGATGTCTTTGGTATATGGCACATCGGTTTCAAATAAAATTGAACAAAATATTGTATTTTTGAAAGCCACCCAATGCATATGATTCGTTCGGATGGCTTTTGAGGTTGCCTACTCTGAAGTGAAAAAAAAAAGTCTTCGAGAAATCATATTGTGTTAAATTAGTACACACCTTATCATAAGCATTTGGTCTCAGATGTCCCAATTCAGGGAAACACGTCTATTTTTCAACCGGTGTTAGTGTCATACCCTAAATTTTGACCACAAGAATTCATATCATTATGCCAATCATCACCACAATATGGATGTTTTTTCATACCTCACCAATCTTTTCAAGGATTTTTGAGCATTCACTTTAACCAAAAATTAGGGTTTTAAGCCCTCTGAGAGTATTTAGGCAAAGGATCAATCAAGAATTGACATGATCTTCAACTTTTCAAGCCTCTAAAACATTCATGAAGGATCAAGAGATCCTCCCCATCAAGAATTTAGCACCACATTGCATCATTCCAAGTTAATCAGGCCTCAAGACCATCAGTGTCACCAAATTAGGGTTTTTATCGACCAAGGCTTCCAAAGAGAAATTTTCATCTGGCCATGAGCCAATACTTTAATATATATTTCAAGAAGCTCAAACGAACCTCGTGAGTCCATTCATAAGTTCAAAATAGTCTCAAGGGTTGCATCTATCAAAAATCAGGAATTAGGGTTTTGACCTAATTCAACCCCTAGGTTGACTTTTGAAGTAAGGCATGATCCAAGACCTCAAGATATGTTTCAAGGACCTCAAATACATCATATTGATCAATTCACAAGATTTTATTGAAGCAAAGAACTTGATTCATAAGCAATACAAGGATTCAAATTCATCTGGACCACAAACTAGGGTTCTTAAGAAAAAGTCAACCATACCTTTGACTTTTGACCAAGACATGATCTCAAACCTTGGGACATGATTCAAGACATGTAAAAATAACTTTGGAATCCATCCATTAGGTTCAATTTAGCCCAAGGACTTGATCTCATAATGGATCACAAAGTTCAAGCTTCATCTAATATAAAAAGTCAACTGTGATCAAAACCAAGTTTGACTTTTGGGATGTTTTGGCAAACATGGCCTCTTTAAGTCAAGAAAAATATTAAATTGTGATTTGGATCAAGATAAATCAAGAAAAATAAGGTTACTTGCAAAAAAGACAACCTTGAGAAACTTGAAATTGCACAAAGTTATGGAATGAACTTGATTTTTACCCAACTTTGCAAGGCCATAACTTGTGATCCAAACAACCATTTTCTCTCATCCAAAGCTCAAATGATAGATCTTCTTACATACAACAAGATTATAAAGCAGAAGTAGCCCTAGAAAATGCTTGGATTTTGAGATATGAAGTATTAAATTTAGGGTTTCATGAGATTTTGAACTTTGACACATAATTTTTTAGGCAGAATCTGCCTCATGTTTTGCCCAACTTTGGAGTCACTTTTTATTATGATACAAGATGAATCAAGACCAAATGTAAACATCAAAGTTGAAGTATGATATACAAGCTTTCCAAAGAGTAAAATAACATCCATTGATTCAACTTGAGCAAGAAGTTATGAATCTCACAACATGACATAAAACACTATTTTTTTAAGATAGCATTGGCACATAACTTGCATCCCACGATTTCTTGAGTCAATTTTGGACACTTGCATCATTGGATTTTTGTCTAATATCAACATAAATGATGAGATATCTGAACCATAAGACCAAAGAGTCAAGAACTTAGCTTAGCATGTGCAAATCCATCATCACATGAGCCTTGAATTTCAATTTTGACATCAAGCATTAATGTGATGCATAGTCGTGGCATGAATCAAGCACAAACTAGTCAAGACATATGCAAGAAATAGAAGACTTCAAATCTTCAAAATTGATGGGAATCAACACATAGCTATGTTAGGAGGAGACTTTGACCACATGACAAAAACCATTGGATAATAGCATGCTCCCTCATCCATTCACTATTCCTCCCAAAACAAACTTGTTATCCTATAAATAGGAGTCATTTATGATCATTTGAATGACATCAAAGTTTAAAGGAGCAGATTGGGAATTCTCAAAACCAGAACCTGAACCACCCAAATAACCATCCAAACACATCACAAATCATCCATTAGAGGTATCCAAACCTTCATCTTCATCTCAAATCACCAAAATCAAAAAGTCAACCATCAAAACCTCATATTTTAACTTTTCTGCATTTTTCAAGCCATGTCTTGATCTAGTCACTTTCAAAACAAAAAAAAATACTCAAACACACTCTAATATACATCCCTAAGTTGTCCCAACAAGTGGTCCGCAACTGTAACACCATTTGAGGGAGATGCTATTTTGACCACTTTTGCCACTTTTGCAAGAAAGGTGCCATATCTTGTTCCAACTATTTTGCTTTGTTTCCAAGCATTCAAGAGGATCATTTGAGGCATATTAAAGGTGTCCAAAGCATCAAGACACATATGTAACAACTATCTTGAAAGCAGTTTGCTTCAAGAGGTAAGTTTCCTCAAAACTTGAATTTGTCAAAATATGTATTGCTTTGATGTACATTGATCATGAACATGTCATACATATCATTTTCATAAACCTTAATCATTATTTATAACATGATTAATGATTTTATTTTATAATTATATATATTATATTGATTTTTTTTTAAATATCTAAAAATATAAAATTAGAGTTTTTTTTTTCTTTCAAACTACATTTCAAAATAAATTTTATGGACCTCTATTAAAGCCTAAGACATTAGGGTATATCATTTTTCTCATTACCACAATTTCTTAGAGCCATCATTATCGTCTTAAAATGAAAAATGGTAGATTTTGATGTGGAGCACCATTCTCTTCTTCAGAGGAATCTTGGTTTAATTGCCGCATCATTTTTTCTGAAGTTTCCAATGACATGAGATAACATTTCGATCAACTCTGGCAGTATGGTACATACATTAATAGTACTTCAGATTCTTATATTTTTAAATCAATTACTATGAATGGGCAGTTAGTATTTTAAATCAACAATTGTATTAAAAACTTTAACAATGTGGTTATAGACAAATTGAATATTGTGGGTAGTTGTTTTAACTTTAATAGTATTATCAACAATTGTATTAAATTTGATAATAATATTCCAAGCTAAGAGAACTTGAGAATGGTTTAGTTATGTAAAGAGAAGAGATTGAGACAAGTTCACTTGATATAACACTGATAACATAATAATAGTGACACAAAAATGAGAT